TTTTGATGTATTTCATTACTATCTAAATAAATATATTGTTGTTGTTAAAACTTTCCCACTGTAGTATCTAAATAAATATATCCTTTACATATATGCACCTTCACTATCGGTTCTATGTAGAAACCGGCAGTGATAGTCACCTTCACTGTCGGTTCTATTTAAAAACCGGCAGTGATAGCCACCTTCACTGTCGGTTCTATTTAAAACCCGCAGTGATGTCCATACCCCCCTATATAAAACAAACTGTCGGCCACATACATCGATCCCACCTACCCACGAACTCTCTCAGTCTCATTTCTCACTTTTCACTCTCACTTCTCAAGACATCCACTCTCTCTCTACGTGATTTGGTCATGGCTCCTGCATTTTTCAATGGTATTGATATGTTGTCTTCTCCAATATTCTATCTATATTCATTTGATCTATATTTATATTCATGTTTCTTTGCATTCTACATTTATATATATTCTTATTCCTTGCATTCGATCTATATTTAATTATGTTGCCATATTTTACTTGGAAGAATTTTTTGTGCATATATTTTATGTTCATTTTTTTGCATTTTATCGATCCGGTGGTATGAACAACGGACCTCCCCCACCACAAGAACCAGGTTTCCACCCTGGCGATGAGCCATTCGATCCTAATGTGGCCATTCCACGGTTCCCTGTTCCAGCTATTGTATGAAATATTTTCCAACATCTTTTGTTTTTTGATGCTAACAAATAACTATAATTAGTTTAATATCATTGTTGCATGCATATATGTCGCAGACTATATCCCCAATAGATTGGCTGCGAACAACACTTAGCTAGTTCTTTATCTCGGACATCGTCGAGAACATAGCATCTAATGCAAGTGGTCGGCTATGGACGTGTGAACTCAGTTTTTTCATCCCTGTGAGGGGTTCAAATCATCGGAACCATATCCACAGGACCGGAATACAGAGCTCGGACGTGATAAGCGCCCAATTAACTGACATGCGCATTTGTTTAGAGGCACTTCGACGTATTTGCTATGATGTGCCCGATTTCTCGCACTTCAAGGCACTTGCTTTGAATGTTGGTGATATCCAATCCATAAAGCAAGCGAATGGTTTGCGAGCTACAACCATGCGTATATGGTAAAATGGTCACTTATACCTGAGTCGTGGTTATTTGTTGTTTAATATTGTAATAACATTCTCTAATTTTTTTCTTTTCCTCCATATGCAGATTGAGCTACAGGACCTTACCTATCTTTGCATGTGGCTTGTGGGCCGTTCTAGACCAAGCTACGAGCAACTCGGTACGATTGGGACTTCGCAATGGAAACCTCACTTGACTCACTATAGAAGGACGCCAATATTGCATAAGGATTACTAATAAAGTTGTCAAGGTTTCTATGGTTCATAGGCATTCCGGTGTCGTATTGGTCTCAAACTTTTTCTTAGGCTTGCACGTGCCATATGTGAAGGAAACACCAAGTTCGGGATTTTCCGGAGAAGGTTTGCTACTTTACGAGGTTTAATTGAATTTTTTCATTTGACGAGACCGTTTAATTATAGGTTGAACCTGAGTCTACCCACGAAAAGATCTGGAATGGTGCCAAACTTTTACATGTGCTCTAATGTGCCATAGGGATAAGAATTTTGTGGAGGTGGATGAAAAAAATCTATTGGGTCTAAGATGAAATTCACCCTCTTTTGTCTCATTCAAAGCACATAGAAAAATATAATTAACAAAAAATGATTAGAAAAACCTAAGATCCTGTGTGGGATCTTAATGCAGGTGTATACGCTTGCCAAGAAAAATTCAAGCCATTTCGACATAGGAATACATATGCTTCTATTTATTCAAGATATGAAAGATTTTTTTTTATATATATAAACATCATTGTCGGTTTCAAGAAACCGCAAAGTGATGAGAGGAAACCGACATGATGATGAGAAACCGGCGGATGATACTGTATATCACTTTGTCGGTTTATTTTGAAAACCGCGATGATATATAAAAATTAAAAAAATTGTGCCCGACCCTCGGGTTTGAGCTCGGGTCTCGGGCCTGAGTTCGAGACACTTAACCGCTGCACTAGTATAGGATGTGTGCCATGGTTTATTTATTTTATCTTTTGACCTTTAGACCGCTTAATAAATTATAAAATTAAACCAAAAAATTGGGCATACCGGATTCAAACACGGGTATCGGGGCTAAGTTATGGGTCTTAACCATTGAGCCGATGGGAGGTATTTGAAAGAAGTGGAAAAGATAAGTTACTTATCTTGTAACCACTACTACGGAAATCCTTTATCGGTTTAAAGAATGGCCCGACGGTGATGTGACGAGATGATGAACATATTTGCAACACGGTATTATCTAGAAGAGCAACAGTCCTGTTGCCCCCTCGATCTCCGGTACGTAGCATATCATATACTACGGTCTTCGTGACAACGCGGTAAGCAAAACGAGGTCATACAAAATGCAACATCCAATATGTAAGCAAATAAAACGAGAGGTCATGCAATGCAAAGTATCAACCCAATTTAGGTGATGATGATCAAACAAAGGATTCGACGACATGGTTTTTTCAGCACCAGTAAATTATTGCATCGCCCTAAAGGCATTGATTAATCACTAGTGCTACTAATTACTGCCGGTGCTGCCGCATGTGTCGTCCCCCGGCTGCCGGCGGCGGTGCTCCTCTTCACACTTCTTTTCGCTCAGCCCTGCGCGCCGCCATTCCGCGTCCATCGCGAGACGCCGCTCGGTCTCCTCCTGGCGGCGACGCTCCTACTCCTCGCGGCGGCGCTCATCCTCCTTGGAGATGTCGATGACGCGCTTTAGGATGCAGTCGTCGGTCTCCTTCTGTGCGATGGCACTGAGGTGCCGGTCCTCCTTCTCCTTCCGAGCCGTCTCCAATGAATTGAAGACGACCTCCTCCACCGGAAGAGGTTCCGGTTCCTCCTCCGATGCAGTCTCCCGGTCCGGATCGTCCTCGAGGTTCACCTCGAGGTCCGATTTAGACGACGAAGGCGTCGGAGGAGTCGGGGGGCGACGTAAGGACGACGGGTTGAGCTTCGCCCATGTTGTCTTCAAGCGGCGAAGCATTGTGCGTGGCGGCGGGTACGTCGAGGGCCGGGGCGAGGTGTGCGTGGGAAGGGCGGTGCTTGGCTTTCTTGACACGCGGTGGTGTGGCGGCCGACTATGTGCATGGGGGCCTGGCTTATATAGGCGTGTCGGTGTGGAACTGATCACGGTGCAATAACTCGCACCCCCTCAGAAACGGAGAGCGCGCCTGCGTTGGGAAACAGCATTGAACCACCATTGTGTCTGCGTTGAGCGCGCCTATGTTTGGGAACCGGCGCGAGCAGCCAATGGATGTGTAAATGCGGCGTCTCTTCGTGGGGAACTGAAGGGCTCTCCCCTCAGATACGGAGCGCGCCTGCGTTTGGGAACCGGCACGAGCAGCCAATGGACCAGCGTTTGGTAATTAAAACAGCGGCTCTTCATGGGAACCGCACGACCAGCGTGGCCGCGGAGTTGAAGGGGCCTACGCGCAAAGCAGGGACAGATAATCACTCAAAGGAATAAATTCCTTCAAACATTCAGAAATCAGGCGATAGCTCAATGGTTTGTCCGCTGCTCTGGAACTTGTAGGCTTCGGTTCGATTCAGGGATGCAACACATTTATTTTATATTTTTGACATTTAGACCGCTTAATAAATTATAAAATTAAACCAAAAAAATTGGGCTGCCTGGGACTCGAACACAGGTCTCGGGGGGCTAAGTTGAGGGGTCTTAACCGTTGCGTCAGTAGGAGGAGTTCGAAAGAAAACGAAAACTTATCCTACTTAACATCTAAGTTAAACCTAACCGCTACACAACATCACTGCTAGTTTGGGGGATGACCCGGCAGTGATGTACACCATCACTGTCGGTTTGCAAGCAAAACCGACAGTGATGAGCTATTTCCGAGCTGGTGCCATGCGCCGAGGTTTGGTTTGCCTGCGCCGCTGAAGGGTACACCACTACTATAGAAAGGTAATCACCGCCGGCTCTAGAACCCCCATTACCGACGGTTTTGGCCCCGTTGGTGTATGTCGGCGGTGATCGGTGACCTTTATCTCTGCCGGTTGCGCGCCGGCGGTGATGATATTTTACCTCCGTCGGTCCGGCGTACCATACGGCGGTGACGGTGTCTTACCACCACCGGCCTTGCATACGATCCGGCAGTGATGGTGTAACCATCGATGCCGGTCCGTGTACCATCCGGCGGTGATGATGTGTCCATCAACGCCGGTCCGGAGTACCATCCGGCGGTGATTGCGTAATCATCGATGCCGGTCCGGTGTACGATCCGGCGGTGATGATGCGTCCATCGACGCTTCCGGCGTACCATCCGACGGTGATGATATAACCATCGATGCCGGCCATGCGTACCATCCGGCGATGATGATGCAACCTTCGACGCCAGCCCGGCATACCATCCGGTGGTGATGATGCAGCCATCGACGCTGGGCCGGCGTACCATCTGGTGGTAACGATGTGCCTATCATCGCCGAGTCATTGTACCAACCGGCGGTGATAATGGACCTATCAATGCCGGATCAAGGCGTACCATCCATTTGTGATGACGAGACATCAACGCTGATGCGGCGTACCATACTGGCCGTGATGTAGGTGCCATCGCATGCGGTTTGGTGTTCCCTCCGGTGGTAATGAGGGCAGCGTCATCGCCGCCCGTTGTGTTTGTTCGGCAGTAATGTTGTGTCCATTACAGCCCGGCGTTACCTCATAATGCATCATTATTGTTCAAAATACATTATAGCACCAACAATACAGGAATTTCATGGCTTACACAAATACAGGCAACATATATAGGAAGAGACAATGTATTGTATCCAAACATATATCACCACCGAGACACAAATATCCATACAAAACAACAGCGACAAACATAGTTTTCAAACACCGGCATCCAACAACAGCAAAAATATATAGTTTTTAACGCTAGCACCTTGATTAGAGAAGGTGATGGACTCCTTTGGGGTTCACGACTTTGTCTAAAATGAAACCGGAAAGATCTTCTTGGAACCCAAATATCTCCAAATCAGTCAGCTCTGGGTGTAGATGACACTTCAGTCTAGAACACAAGAAAAAGGTGAAACAAAGTTAAGAAAAGCTTTGCTACACACTCTAAGTATGTCCCGAGGTCATCCAAATTTACTAAAGGTGTTGAGGGCCAAACACGTGAGCCGGAGAAAGCATTTATGAGGTTGCACATGTAATGCATGACATAGAACCCGCAGAGATCATTGCCCTTGCAGCTGCATTTGGATCGAACCAACCGATACTACTTGAAACCTAGAATCGCCAACCTCACGATGTTTCTTGGACCTTGACTTGAACTTCTCGTGAGGCCCCTGTGTGACAAGTTCATGATGGCGACATAAGATGATCGGAGCTATGTAACAAATAATCTTATCCTTTGTCTTACTTGTTCGGCGCCTCAATGAAGGGATGGATGTTCTCTAGTTGGCTCCCTCGAGAGTCATAATCGTTGATGTGGTCCTCTCTACAATCGATGTCAAGAAGGACATGATGGTCGCCATTGCATTGACAATGCCACATTGGTTCCAATTAGGTTAAACCCTCAAATATGTAATGGAGTAGAAAATTAGGCATTTACAACAAACTTACACGCGGTTGTAGGATAGAAGTATGCTACGGGATTTGTTGAGATGGAAGCTCTTTGCCAATTCATCTATGGTGCTAGTGTACTTTAGTGTCCCGTGATTGCATACCACTAGGTTCAAGAAGCCTATTTGAATCATTGCATTGCTGCTGAAGTCCGCCTCCTTCCTACAAAACATTGTGTAGTTGTTAGAAACTCAACTCGGAGCTATAAAATGCATGGCGTACTAACTAAACTTACATGGTCCACAAGCTCATGATATGAATGTCTAGGGCCAACTTTTGGTAAAATTTAGACAATGCCTTGAACTGAATCCACAATGAGTCATCTTTTCCCTTATAAAATTGTTTATCCAAAATTCTTGCACCAAACCCATCACTACATTGAGCTTTGTACCAATTACTCACCTACCGCCCTCTTGATCCTAATTTCAAGACTTCTTCGGGAGCTACCAGATCACCCCCAGCCTGAAACTACCATGCAGGTGGCGCCTCCTCTCTATCCCGTCGAAAATCAGCATCTGCATGTTCTTCCTCTCTGTCGTTGTGTTTTCTTGCAAGTTCTGAGATAGTTGAGTTGTAGTCCTAGTAGATGGACTGGTCTTGCGAGTCTTGGATCATAGAGGTTCCTCTGTCGATGTGTTTTCTTGCAAGTTATGAGATAGTGGAGTTGTATTCCTAGTAGATGGACCGGTCCTGCGAGTCTTGGGTCGTAGCGGCGATGAAATACTTGGTCCCCTGTATTGGTGCATGTCTTCTGAGTCTTCATCATCCATATCATCGTCGGATTTGGAATCCGAGCCAAAGGACATGTAGCGCTTGAGCCAAAAAAAACTTGGCAACCCAAGTTCTCCCCCAGTGTCTTCCTATCCTCATCCTCTGGGTGATCTAACTCAAGCGCACGATACCGGTCTTAGTTATTGCATCAATGGTCACCTTCGAGTACCGTGACAGCAACATATGGTTTTGCAACACATCCCCCACAAGGATAGGCAAGACCTTGTGCCACCTTGGTCTTATAGAACTTCTCTTGAACGTATAGGTTGCAAGGTATTGGCTCCATGATCTTATCAACGGGAGCGTGAGACATGCGTCATCGAGAGGAAGCGGTGTGCTTCCACGGCTACTCCGTACCGGTGCGGGCTGATGACCCCGACCACAAAGATCATCATCTTGTGCCCAAGGACAGTTCTTCATTATCTCCTCAAGCTCTTGAAGAAAATGTTGATTGTTTTCTTTCATTTCATGTCGAACAGCCTCCATCGACGTTGCATCTCTAATTCTTTTTGGCATTCCTCCTCATACGACTTACATGCGTGGAGATGTCATCGGGAAGGAAAGCTCCCATGGAATAAGTCCGAACCCTCATGTACGACTAGGATGCTCTTTGTTTCCTAGTGCCCGGTCGGTGATCATTCTCCGTATTATGATTGAAAGTACCATTAGCAACTTCCTCATGGACCGCCTTCATCCTTTGTGCGGTTCTAGGTTGCGACATCCCGATAACTTAGGGAGCCATCTCGGGTTGAAGGTAAGCCCCTCCCGAAGGAACCTTACAGAGCGAGGATCGGTCGGATGTGCTGCACCGTAACACCGCTCTAGGTCAGCTCCTCCTCCTCCCGTTCCCAATCTCGGATTTTCCTCGCATAGCCACGCCGAGCGGTGCAATGTGGCATCCTATTTTTTATGGAGTTGATCGTATTTGTCTCACTCTATTCCTTCGCCTCATCCGATTCCTTCCAACTCACGAAATCACTCCAATACTCTTGCCGATGTGGGTATTTACGTCATTCGCTCGATGCCCTTCTTTACATAGTTTTTTTTCTTGGTAGTACCTAAAATACTTGAATGAGTTGCCCATGATAAAGAATGCCCTCTCCTTTGTAACCTCTTCATCAAATCCAAAGCAGGAAACTCAAAGCAGGTCCTTCAACAACGCCTTGAAGAAAGTTCCATCTGGATGGAACCACCCATTCACTATTCCTTTTATGCTAGCACCTGTACTTGATGGGTATGTTGTCCTTCACTAACACCCCAATGGCCGTCTTGTATGGCCCCATGACACCAATTGGCTCAATGGGTTCTCCGGCCGGATCCACCAACGTGATCACATGTTTAGCGCTCGCTGGGCAAGGTGGGCAACTTGCTCGGCCCTCGCTTAGCCCGGCACCTAGCTGGTCTATCTGCTGTGGTTGTTGTGTTACTCTCGGTGGGAGGTGCCTCCTGCACACACACACACACACACACATATCGAGTTGTCTCCGATGCGGAAATACAAAGATGGATTACCCCGCCACTTCCACGGAGGTCGAGGAGCGAGGAAGGGAAGATGGTTCGCCACCTTAGGCCCTGCTACTACATTCGGAGGCTGACTCCCCAAATCAGTCCGACCAGTCCGTCGTCGATTGGTGACCATTTGCCGTGTCTATTGTCCAATAGAAGCCATCCTTGTAAAAGTCCTAACAAAACACAATTTCGTCAAGCCATTCAATTAAAAACTTAGCGAAAAAATGAGTTGATGCTACCTAGCAAGGTACACTCACAACGTTCAAATATGGGTACACATAACTAAAATATGAAGTGATGACGAACCTTGCGATGAAGTTCCTCTACAAGTCATTTTCACCTGCACAAATAAAAGTAGCCTTGTTAAACACCAGATGCCCAAGCTCCAGATGAGTACTACCGCCGCCGTCCGTAAAAGAATGCAATTATGAGATCCGCTACCGGTCAATATAGCTCAATTTTGACCAAGTTTACATTAAATAGTATTAACATTTATGTGTCAACATAAATTTATTATGAAAATATATAGTATAACTAATCTAATGGTACTTTTTTTACATAAATTTAGTGAAAGTTCAAATGGCTTGACTTCTCGAAAAGCGAGAATTGCATCCTTTTGTGGACGGATGGACTACATATAAATGGTAAAGCTACGATGGATCTACACATATGATAGTTCTACATGCAAATCGAGTTCTACAATATGTTATCTTTAACTTCTAGTCCTAAATAAATGGAATGCAAACACAATGCGGAAAAGATACAAGAATCTAACCCTAGGCTGCTATTTTCACTTAATAAACATACAAGAATAATTGATGGCTCACGCTTCACCACTACTCTGCATCTAGCCCTGGCCAATCCAAAGTTTATTTACCTCAGATCTGCAGGAAATGACAGCTGGAGAGGTGGGATTTGATGGCTGGGAAAATGGATAGCGACCTCGACTGCCGTCGGCGAACGGTGGAGTGGGGGGAAGCCGGGGGGTGGGCCGACGGTGAGCGGTAGAGTGGGGTGGGGGGGGGCAAGCAGTGGTCGGGCGCGCTCTGAATGGTGGGGAGGGGGGAAGCCAGCGGATGGGCCGCCGGTGAACGGCAGCGACTGGCAGGGCGACGGTGACTCAGCGAGCGACGAGCGGCTCCAGGTGTAGGGGGCGGGAATGAAAAATTTGGGGGAATTTTTTTGCCACGGGCACTTATATACCGGGTTCATTTTACACCGACGGTGCGAATGCTAGGACAGCGGTGCTCATCAACATGACTGCCGGTCCCAACGTCCACTGCGAATAAACAAATGGAAGAGGACACTCCACCCGACGTGTGATACTGTACCAGGAGTGATGTTTTCCACTCAGCCAGGGAACACTGTATCATGTGCTGAGATGTTGACAGACAAGTTTTTAGGGCACTTTAGAAACTCTAATTTTAGTTGTCAAATTAACCTGATTGGTTGATTGCCGAAATTGACATTACCTAATATATATATATATTGGTTTGTTGCCAAAATTTGCAGTTCTAATGTATGAATCGCCCCAAATTACATTGGGACCAGTACGTGCCATCCAACTGCTCCAACTCATTTTTCATACTTACTTATATTCTACTTCTACTTGTATTGTACTTCTCCATGACTTCTACTTCTCCATGACTTCACAATACAAGATCAGTGTCATCCCGCTGATCAAAGTCATTTTTCATACTAACTTATATTCTACTTCTACTACATGACTTCATAATATAAGATCAGTGCCATCCCACTGATTGAAGTCATGATTGCTAATTACATATGTAGCTCTGGGTACACAGAAGGCCTGGCGACGATGCATATGGTGCCCTTCTCCTTCAGATCCAGCCATCGTCATCCTCGCCAGATTCCTCTTCGCCAACAGTGGGTAGTGGTGGAAGCCAGCCCTCATTCCTTGCTAGGGCATAGTGGCGACTCTTCTTCGTGTCATCCGCGGCGTTGGACTTCGCTGTCCCTAGGATGTGGTTCTTGGGTGCATCCCTGGTCCACTACCGGTTCGCCCGACCAGGGCAGATGGGGCACCGCAGTTGCCCGTACCAGTCGATGATGCACAGAGTGTGACCCTTTGGGAAGGGCGTCACGTACCCACGAGCGCGGTGGTCATCGAACTGACCAATTGACCCCTGCTGCCTCTCTCAGTCAACTTGCTGACACATGGGCCCTGTATGTCATATTCTCCTTGTGGACATCCTGGATTCAATACACAATGATGGACGGCTTAGATTCCAAACACCAAAAAATAGAAGACCGTAACATATGCCAGCGTAACGAGCATCAACCATCACAAAACCGCTCTGATTCAAAATCGCTCTGATTCAATGTGAAATGACGGGAGCGTTGTGGCGACACCTGAGGAACCACAACCGGCGCGGCGTTGTCGTCGGTCACCTTGGGAACCCAATAGCATTGTTTTTGGCTATGCCGTCGAGATGGCATCCAACGTTCAAGATCAAGTGGCACAATGCACTGAGTGGTCGAACGATACTCTTTAAATAACTAAGAAGCAAATCCGTCTTACCACCGGTGACGAGCAATGGCAAGGTACAGCACCAACAAGTCATCTAGCGACGAGTCTAGGGACTCGGCGAATCGCCACAGCACCAGCGAGGAGGAGGAGGAGGTGGCGGAGGCACCAGCAGTCGTCGTCGAGGAGGAGGACGGCACACTAGTTTAGCTGGATTAATGACAACATCCATCCTAGACAAAATTAACAAGTCCATAGACAATCAAATAACATTGGTCCATTTGAACGTGCCGTGATAGAGAGATACAACAAATGCAGCTTTATTCATTGCTTTGCTAATGACTCCAAGAACAAGAACAAGGGAACATAAGGAAGAAAGTAAGGTTTGCTTGTGAATCTCGACAGACATAGCGTCTACCATACCCGAAAGACACGCAGGCGGGGATGGCATGAACTTTCTGCGGTCCATGTCATACGCGATGAATCTTCTTTCCTCCCCAACAAAGAAAATCAAATTCCATTCTGAATGAACTGTAATCGCTGTGTAGTCCAACTCATAATCCACGTAACCAAATTGAATATTAGTCTTTCCAAACACCTTCAACGTGCTGACAATATGCTTCAATATCCATTTATTAGTAACATAGTCTTCAAGGATCCATATTGAAACCTAGGACATATTGTGACCACCAACGCTACCATCAGTACATACACACAAGTGACCCTGAGCTTGATGGATGGAGGGTAGAGTACCACGAGGCCTAGGAATTTTCCTCCATGTCTTTCCCTCCATATCCACTGCAAGTATCACAGAGTACCCCGTAATGTGCATAAAACCATTAAGAAACACACTTGCTGATCTTGAACGTATCACATCATCAATGTTCTAGCCCCATTCAGATTCCTTATAGGTCCATTCTGCAGTTCAGATGAGTAGATCTCCACACCTAGGCACCCAACGTCCTCAAGCTCCACAAATTCAATCATATGGATGTGCGAGGAGGCTGTCAGATCAAACCCCAATCGAGCCTAATCGACAGCACGATGCTAGATGGCAGTAGCTGCAAATTCTTGGTTGCCGGATTGCTGATGACATAGCGGGATCCAACACTAGCTGCCTCAACGCACGAGCATAGGATGAGCCCATTGCAGCAATCTAAAACAACTACATTGTCCCTGGGGAAGGGCAAGAAGGACAAGTCGGGGCGTTCAATGGTGAAGTTGGTGAACTTTCGCATGCCGTTCTCTCCGTCGTAGACGAAGCCGGCCACAGTCTGGGCAGCACCTTATGGTTGTGGGAGATGAGGCTATTCTAGGAGCGACAGAACATTTGTAGCAGAGCAAGGACCGGGTGGGGAGGTGGCAGAGGATCTCGAGAACGACATCCTCTGTGAGGCTAGCTAGTGCGTTCCTCTTGCTTGGGGCCTCCTCCATTTCGTAGAGCCTGCAATCGTCAGTGTCCAGTAAGATGAGAGCTTCCTTACAAATGAGATCACTAAGATCTTGTGATCTTGTTTGGATCAATTCACATGTGTTGGGGTGGATTGAAGTGGATCTTGAGCTAAATTTTACAGCAATCCACCTCAACACATGTGAATTGAGATGAATCTGACAACATCGAAACAAGGCTTAAAGAGGAAAATAATTCGACAAAGATCCATCTTGAAGTGCGAAGGCATACCATGCCTTTAGATCTGGCGGTGGCACGACGTGAGGCGTGCACA